TTCCCCCTAGTTATTTAACCTTCCAGCATGCACGCTTGGCAATTTTACATGAGCATGCGTGCGTCATATTTATTACGACATCCATTATTTTAACATTTGAAAAATGACAGAAATGAGTGAATATTGATAATAAATTTGTTAAGAAATAAAATATTAACCTTATTGCAAAATACAAATGATATCACATTCAAATATAAGTACATTATTTTGAAGTTCTTATGTTAGTGAGATGGAAATGCAATGATGTATTTCATTATAGAAAAATTTAAATTTATTATTTAATAATTATATTTTAAAATCGAAGCTAATTTTAATATTCATCAAAGACAAGTATAGACAATAAAAAAAGAAAACACCTTGGTAGGAAAAAACGTAAGTTTAGCATTACTTACTTCTTCAAGGAAATTTACTTCTTACTGATTACAAAAACGCACTTTAAACTAACTTTAATATTTTTATTTATTTCTAAAAAATAGAAATAAAAGAAAATAAGGAATGGAAATCGCTATTGTTCTCCCATCCAAAGGTTTCCTTGTCTTTCTTTTCCTCATCAGATAATTCTTGAAGAATGCGAGCAAAATCAGCTGGTTGCACATATTTTTTTGACATGACCGCTATAAAAATTACAGAGTCAAATGTATAAAAATTAAAATAATGCACGGCAATTAATAACACAAAATTACAAAATATTTGAGGAAAAAAATATTGTCAGAATTTTCACCCACGACCACGCGTGTGTTGTAAGTTTTACGAAAAAGCTACCACAAAATACCCCCAAAAATTAAGAAAATTCAAATGACTTCCTGTTGACATAATCCATGATGTGGGGAAGAGTAGAAAGGAGGAATAGAAATGACCCTCATACGTCTCAACTTTGAGATATGAAAAATGTGCATTAAAAAAAGAATTTGTCGTAAATTTTATGCATACGCACATGCTGGAAGGTTTAACAATCTGCTTTCTTTTTCTAAATGTCCTAATTTAATTTCTAATTCTTTTTCTAAATGTCCCATAGTGGCCATTATTAGATAAAGATGCAATAATTGCATCTTTGTTGATTACAATGTTTTAATTTTGTGTTAAAATTTGTTTTGGAGGCAACTGTCTCTTCTCTACATGTCTTCTTTTCTTCTGGAACATTCATCAGTCATTTCCCCCACACACACACTTTTCTTCTGGGCATGCTTCTAAAACTGTAGTAAAATTTTCATAGCTTTTTGCTAAGCTACTTTGTAAGAGTGCTGCAGGGACTATTCTTTCTTTATTCACCAATTCCTCGCAGTTGATCTATGATATCGAGTGTTTTGTTACTGTGTTGTTTGAGCTTCTATTTGTTTTCTGCTTTTAACGCATACAGCTTTCTGAGAAGGTTAAGTTTATGGGAAAGATTTTTTTCTTTCATGAATCTTCTTTAATTTGTTACATATTTCTTACGTGTATGATTTGGTTGGCTTCTGCAGGTAGACTTATGGTAACTTGTGCTTGTTCATCTTGTTTTTATCCATTCACCGTTGATTTCTTTCGTCATATTATTTGTAATTAAATCCCCCTAATTTTTCTTTTTCAGAATCATTTCTACTTTGTATTTTGATAGTTTTTATTACATACTTTCATAAAAAAAGTATTGATTTTTGCATTTAGTTGCCAATTTTGTTTCTGTTTTTCAAATGTTCAGTGCACAAATATGTTAGTTTTGTTTCACTTTTCAAAGATGGGCTTGGCTTTTCTTTGTGATTATCCAGTGTTAATTTATAACAAAGTCCCCCCTATTTTTATTCATAATAGCTTATCTAGATATCTTTTATGCTTTCAGGTGAAGTAGACATTTACACAGTCTCATAATCAAATGGCGATGAAACTTGCAGTTTATTTGTTTACTGTATAAACTCAAATTACTGGCGATTATATTAAAGTAGAATTAGTCTTACCTTATTATGGATAATCCACATTGTGATATGTAAGCAACGTTGGGTATGAGAAAGGAAAAAATATCTAGTGGTAGTACAAACATTATCAGCTCTCCATTGCAGAATGAATCATGTATGGAGAAAACTTCTTTTAGATCAAACCTACTTTCAATTAAGGGGGTGATTGCAAGTAACATTGGATAAGCAGCTTAATCGCTTCCATTTTCAGTCACAATTCTGTAGTGCTGAGGGTTTAAAATTCCCTGCTTTGTTAAATTTTAAACAAAAAATTTTGCCTAAGTGTACAATTACACACGAAATTTATATTCATGTTCATCCCAAAGGATGGGTGCATGGATTGAGTATGAAGTTATGGTTACAGAAGGTGTGGTACAGATGTTTAGGCAAACTTCTGAAGAAATCACCTTTATTAATGTATAATCAGTTTAATGGTCATATAACCAAGTCAGCAAAAATCCTTCCTACTGAACCATGAAGACAAATCTTGCTGTGATTCTTTGTGGATTGACTTTTTAATTGCAGCCTCTGGATGTTTCAGTCAATAAGCCATTCAAGAGATTTGGGGATAAAGTGGATTCATGATGTCACACCAGCAATTTCTAGTATTTTTGAATGGGTGGAAAAGTCCTGACAGAAAGTTAAAAGTGAGACTGTCATAAAAAAATGTGGAATTAGTAGTGTGCTATATGGAAGTGAAGGTGACATTATACAAGACGAAAGTGACAAATCCAATGATAGTGACAACCAATACAATGATAGTGACAACCAAATACAATGAAGTGAAAATAACTGCATATATAATTTTAGCAGCAGTGATGGTGAATCTCTAGGGTTCTGTGATAAATAAATGCTGTAATAGTTGTCGAGTCATTAGATTATATCAATGCAGTATATGTGAAAAATGTATAACGCTGTCACCGGGATTCAAACTCCAGACTCCCGAAAGTGCTTCAATCATGCATTCAGTTACACCATGAAGGCATATGACAAGAAGTAACAACATATGTTATATACTCTCACTGAGGATTAGGAGACCTAGTTGCCAAATCCTGGTGGTGAGGAATTATGCACTACCTTTTTAGTTTGGTTATTACTCGTAGAGTCATTTTTAGATTTTTTTCAATATAAGGAAAAATGATAAAAACCTCAATGCCCACCATGATTTGAACACTGGAATACAGTCAAATTCGTTAATCCGGACTCGTCGGGACTTCGGCGATTCCGGATTATCGATTTTTCCGGATCATAGATCATCAGTTTAAATCTCGTAAGATGGCATGCAGAAATTCTAAAATTTAAAATATGAAACCGTAATTTATGAAGTAAAGAACAATTATGATCTAAAGGGTATCAAAAATTTACAAAAAAAAAAGCTTAATATTTATTTGTTTACTTTATTAAACATTTCTTTTAATGTAAGTTGTTTAAGTTGCTTCGTTTTATGTGATAATACTTTCTCTTTAATTCTATAAACAGACATAATTTCCTGTTCAGTTGCAAAGTTCCGCTGTTCAAGTCCTGTAATTGCTGTGTCGAGAATACAGACTAACTTGTGAATCGAAATTTTTTCATTTTCAATAACCTCTCTGTCACTTTCTTCAATATCCGAAGCAATACATCGAAACATGCATATTTCAGAATGGTTAGAGAATCAAAGGATATGCCTTTATCCAATTTTGCAGCAATTCCACTTTTTGTTTGATGGACATCAAAACATACTTTCGCTTTGTAGATCCTTTGGGAGCTCCAGCATCGGAAATTTTATTTAACATAATCGAAAGTTCAAACTTACTTTTATAAAATTCCCCTTACAGTCTGCAAAAAATAATAAGCAGGATCCAATTCGAAGATTAAGGAACAACGCAATCATTAATATTAACTGAAATAGATAATTAGATAATTTTAGCTTACACCGTCCGTTATGCATTTTACGTGCAGGCGAAAACTTATTCTGCACTTGCGCACACGCATGTGCGCAGTAGTCAAGGTCTTACACGCACGTGTAAAACGCCTGTGCGCATGTGCCAACGCGACGCATGCGCAGAAAGTTTTTAGCTTTGAAGTCCGGATTATGGGTGTCCGAATTAACGACTTTTGACTGTATATGTTGAGTGGGCTCCCATTTGCACCTCGTAGGCATGCTGAAAGGAAGAAGAAAGTACCTTATATATTTAGTACTATTTTGTTTGTTTTCGTTGTATATTATCTTATTAGACTAGGTAATTTGATCCTTTTCTGTCTCATCTAGGTATTTTTGTAAATTCTAAACTGATTAATCACAGTGTGTTCTTTAGAGGTCATGATCCCTCCACCAAACAATAGCATGCTAATTCTTCTTCTAATCTCGAGAGTCTGTTAAAATCTGTAAAAAATTCCTTCAGCCGTTGACCTTTTTTACTTGCAAATGTGCTTTTTCTATTTGAATTAAAGAATTGATGCCTGTGCTTGCATTTATTAATTAGGTACTTTTCACTGTTAATTTCTTGTTTAAAAATGTGCTTCTTTTGTGTATATTTATAATTAAAAAATTATTTTAATTATTTGTATAAATCCCCTGATTTCTTAGAAAAATATTCCAATTTGTAAGTTTGGTAAGATGGTACCTCATAATTAGCTTTTGTGAGGATGCTGTGTTGGAAGGTATGCACTTTGAATGTTATTTTACTGTCATGTTTAAATGGCCACTATGGGTATTGTATAAAAGAACTTGTGTAGCAGATAAATACTCACTGTGACCATTAATTTTCTTGTTCTTATGTGAGTGATCGTGTTTAGAAACTTTTTATCTAAAGTTTAGGACTTTATAATTATTTTTATTTTCAAGTGGTAATTTTTACTTAATTCCCATTTCAAATTTGATACAGTTTTTGTGTTTCTGTCGTTTCTTTGATTTGGAATGGGATACATAATATTTCATCCAGTTTAAATGCTTTTTATGTAATAATCGGTATTGATAATAGTTTAGCTGTTATTAAATTATTAAACACCATTCTAACCTATTGTATATTGATAATATTTATATATTTTGAATTTTTGTTATAAAATATTTGGAGCTTCTTTTTATTCTTTTAGATTACATGAAGTGCCTGATCTTGATCCTCCTCCACTACTTGATTCAGTTTTGTCATCAGCTAAAATCACATCAAAAATTTCAGAAGTTACTAATATGGAAAGCACATTACATGCAGAAAATTCATACTCTGCTAAAGATCTAAATCAGGTATTTATGTATATAGTCAGTTGACACTGATATCAGCTGAGTGATTTAGAAAAGTTAGTGATTTAGAAAAAAAGAACTTGACAAAGGCCTGGTTAGTGATTTAGAGAAAAAGAACTTGACATACTAATGGCCATGTTGGAAAGTGAGGAATCTACTGCTGTTTTTTCTTTCTTTTTTCAGAATAAGTACAGTACATGCATATTTATGATACATGAAAATAAATGTAGAACATTTGTTGCAATTATAGTTTATATAACTGTATCATGAAATTACACATTCCTTCACAAACACTGGAATTTCAGGATAACATGATACTGTTCAAGAAGAAAAACAGCCTGTTGTGTTGGAATGATTTATGGGGAGCAAAAATAATACATAAAAATTTTCAAGCACTGACATAACAGTATGATGAAAATAATAGAGGTCTAGTGGAATATGAAACAAAGCAGCTGTGAAGGTGAGGGAAAACTGTTTATTACTGATAAAGGTCAGGAATGTTCTGATTCCACCCTTGCTATCAGAGACCGGTCGCGGACACTTAGCTGACAACCACTTGGCCGACGGGACACTTAACTGACACCAGTTAGCCGACACGGACAGTTAGCCGACAGGACATTTAGCCGACACAGACAGTTAGCTGACAGGACATTTAGCCGACACACACATGTAGGTATCCAGCCATTGCCTTACCCTGTATATAGCAAGTGAAATTACTGAGCATAACCTTTTTCTGTGCTAGCACTAAGTTCAGGAGATTTGAATGCGAAGCATTCAGATACCATTTTATCAAGTAGGAGGTGATGAGCAATTATATTCGTAAGGAGCAATTATAGTGATTTGGCGGATACTGTATAGGCATAACTTGCTTGTAGGAATATCGTGCGAGAATCCGCAGTGAGGTGGGATCATTCATTTCGCGTTACGAAGCACAGTTACTGGAGAGACATCGTAGGCTAGACTGAACTGGCTGCTGTCTTCAGTGTAATAGGAGTAGACCGTTCTGAAAAATCTGAATAATGCAATAAAAGTTATTGTTATGAAAAACGATATGTAGTTTAGTTAGGTATTCAGTAACTGTTCGGTAGGGTCTGAGTCATAAACTCTTATGGTCAATGTACCTCCACTTAGGTTTCCATGATATTTTTTTTATATTTAATTGCTCTTCAAACTCTTCTTTCATCTTATCCCAATCCCCCTTGAAGTCGGCTAAGACTATAGGGGGAAAGTGTCCTGCTTTTTTGTTGGGTGTAATAAATTCACCTTCCTCTACTTCCATATTGTCTTCAGGGGTTAGTTCCTCGAATTTATTTTTTGAGCTGGTTTTTTTTCTATTTCGGAATTAGATAGAGTTCTCTTATGAGTTATTCTAAGGGTTATGTATCCTTCTTTATCTATTGTGGTTTTCTTTTTGATTCTAGATTTTTGACTAGCAGTAATATTAGATTGACTTGTTTCCTGTGCTTGATTATTTAGGTTTTTTTTTTTTTTTTTTTTGTTTTTGTTTGGTTTGTTTCATTAATTGTATAATTCTAAGATTTTATATCCTTTCCATAGCTTGACGTGGCTAAGTGAACTTCAGTTGCATTATTTGGATTAAATGAATTTGATAAGCATGAAACTCGGAAAGCATAAGTTGCTTAAGTTTTTCTAAGTATTGCTGGTAATTTCCAGATTTCTGTGATTACACACAGATTTGATACGGTTTTCTATCGCCTCCTTGTCCATGATATGCATGAATCCTAACTTTTAACCTAATGGCAATAAGAATAATGAAAACATACTTATCATGAACATCAAGAAGAGACGACAGCAACTCAGGATCAGCTTCTGCAGTGAGAGCAATGTCTTTTCCCTTTCTTCACAAAATTGCAGGAATAAAGCAACACCGTAGACAGAAACAACAGTTTCTCTAATCATCAACAGCAACAACCATTTGACGTATTATAACTCAGAATGCACAAAATTTATGAGTTTTGAGGATGGTGGCATGAACTGCTAATTATAGAGGTCGCAAATAATTTATACCTTTGCTGGTTTTAAAAATTCACGTTTTTTAATTGTTTTTAATAACAAAATAAAATATATTTGCTAAACTAACTCTCATTGCCCATATGTTTCCTATAAAAAGGTATAATTCAAGAATGAACAGTAATTTTTATTGCATTATTCAGATTTTTTATGACAGGGAAAAGGAAATTTCATTAGTGGGAGGAGCCAAACGATTTTTTTTAAGGGAAGGAATTGTAACACACGATGTGATGAGCAAAATAGTAATGCAATGTAAAGATATTAGAAATTTGAAAGCATTGGAAAGAGCGAGATTGGAAAATTAATATCATTAAGTAAACAAGAAAAATTATTAATGATGTGAAAGTTGATTAAATAACAGAAGCTTTACGGATAATTTTTGAAGATCCCATGTTAAAATGTAATTAAGTGACCACTGTACTTATCTAAAAAAATTCTTTTTCCTTTCGAAATTTAATTCATATTCCCTGACGAGAAATTTCAGCGCTTTTTCAATTTGGCCAATATACACCAAGCAGCACGATACGTATCAAACAATGCTAAAGTAACACAATAATTAAAAGCACGTATGAGATCTTCAAGAATCGAAAACTGAATTTTACTGATAGATGAAAAAAATAACTTGGATATTGAACTTATGGAGAAGTCGAGATATTTTGTATTTGATTGTAAATTTAAATAATTATTGGGTACGCGTCAGCTAAACATCACTGTCGGCTTATTGTCCTTTTGACAAAATGTCTTGACAGTTAACTGTCCCATAGCTAAATGCCCTGATGGCAAATTCTGTTTGTCGGCTAAATGTTCTGTCCGCTAACTGTCCGTGTCGGCTAAATGACCTGTCGGTTAAGTGTCCTGTCGGCTAAGTGTCCGTGTTGCCTAAATGTCCTGTCAGCTAACGGTCCGTGTCAGCTAAATGACCTGTCGGCTAAGTGTCCTTGTCGGCTAAATGTCCTGTCGGTTAACAGTCCGTGTTGGCTAAATGTCCTGTCGACTAACTGTCCGTGTCAGCTAAATGACATGTCGGCTAAATGTCTTTGTGGTCTAAATGTCCTTTCAGCTAACTGGTGTCGGTTAAGTGTCCCGTCGGCTAAGTGGTTTTCGGCTAAGTGTCACGGACCCATCAGAGACACATACACTGCACAGAGATGGCATCATGACGTACATCAACTTTGTGCACTCTGTGCTTTTCTCATAATGCTTTCTTTAAACCATCCAGTGTGCTGGAAATATTCAGTATTTCATAGATTTATCAAAATAACAGAGAAAATTTCACTGAAATTATCAGATGAAAGCAGAGGTCATGGGAACAGAAAATGATGCTAACATAGATATGAGCTTGACGTAGACATTTCACACTGTGAGGTCACATGATAAACCATTCTGCAGCCCTTAATTTTAGTACAGTCTGTATTGATATCATTAATGCATAACTTGTGGCTATGACATCATATGATAAGTGTTTTATGAAAAATCATGTACTCGGTAGAAAATTATCTAGCTGTAACTACAGTCCTTTTAGTCATCTGGACATCAGGTGCTAGTCATAGGATTATTGTTGAATGCATAACCTCAGCTCATATTTATCCTTCTAATTGGGATTAAATGTGTCTTGCCACTCTGAAGAATTTGTAACAGAAAATTTTATGCTTTGTGCCCTGGTTTGGGAATTTCTGATTATTACAGGATTCCTATCCTGTGACACAGGCACTCGATAAAAGCAGTAAAGAGACAGTTTGGTGTTAATTGCAGAACTTTAAACAATAGTCTACAATAGATTAAGGTATTTTTTTCATCATGTCAACATTTGGTCTTACCATCATGGTAGCCAATATCCACTGGGGCTTTCCATCACCTTGACTTAATAAGTGCAGTCTACATCTTTTGATCAGTTAAATCACACACAGCTTGCTTTGAATAGAAATCCCTGTGTATAATGTAATGACACAAATTAACCACATGAGTACTGCATAAGTTCCATTCTTTTCCATGAAATGCATAAACATTGGAATAATTGGGAGAAAATAAAATTTGCTTGAATATTTTTATTAAAAGTATTTTTGAACAAAAGTGGAAACGAGAGGTGAAAAGTGTTACAATAATCAACTATAGAGCTGCTGCCTTCTGCATGAAACTATACAGGTTTTTCATTGTGTGTATTGGCTCATTTACCATTGCTTAAAAACCACTATTTCTGTTACTTTTCATGCCACTAACAGAATTCTAATGTCTTATGCTGTTTTTTATCACAGAATCTCATGCCATCAGGATGTTCTAATATGTTTGTATTTGAAATTTTTGGAAAAAGGTTACTGTTAGTTACTATTATACTATTATAATAGTAACTAACAGTAACCTTTTTCTATAGCTGCAGTGCTGTTATGGATATTCCGTACCCTTTCAAAAGAAAATTTTTTTCATCAGCCCTCTCTCTCTTTTTCCCCCCTAATATATACAGTGTTACAACATAATCGTAGTACAAATAATTTAAAGATAACCATCACACTAAAAATGTGAACAGAAGTTTTTTTTGGGGGGGGGAGGTTAATTAATTTTTTTCTATTATTTTCTGTTTTTACTATTTTTATTAATTTTATAAAATTAAAGTTTTTCAAACAAAATTACAAATCTTAATGCACAAAATTTCAATTTTAGTATGATGGCTGTGCTTGATTTCTGGATTCAGTTTTCAAATTGTGCTCTTTTGCATACTAAACAGCTTAAAATATAAGACAATCATCTTGAAATTTTGTATGCAAATTCCTTCATATCAAGTGTGCAAGTGATTAAACTTTCAAGGGCAATGAATATCGTCTACTACTATATATAATTGTATAAAAGAAGCAACAATGGTGGATGATTTATCTTTTCTCAAAGTTGGTGTAACATTTCCTGGGAGACACCTGTTATAAGATTATGTTAGATATTCTTAATAAAAAAAAAAGGATATTTTCGTACATTATTATTGGTGG